AAATCCTAAAGCTAATGTTTTAACAAATAACATAGTTTCTAACCCCATCACACTGGAGCGTTCCACTCGCCAGGGGTGCCCATTATCTCCAATGCTATTTATCTTAGCTATAGAACCCCTGGCGATGACAATTAGAATGAGAACTGATATATTTGGTGTCCAGTTAGGAGATCAGGAGCATAGATTGGCTCTGTATGCTGATGACTTGATAGTGTTTATGACTAGGCTGTCCATTAGTATACTCAAATTAATTCAACAAATGGAGGTATTCGGACAATTCTCTGGCTATAACATAAATGATTCAAAATCCTCAATTCTATTTCTGAATAAGGATGAAAGGCTAAATCCTATTATGCAGACCCCGTTTATTAATGCAAAAGAAGGATTTGTGTATCTTGGGAGTTAAAATCACCCCAAACATTGATACCATTGTAGCAACAAACTATGATCCACTGAGAAGTGAAGTGGAGGAATCTTTAAATAAATGGATGACAATGCCCATATCAGTAATTGGCCGTATTAACATGATTAAAATGAATATATTGCCAAAATTTTTATATCTCTTCCAGTCACTTCCTCTGCCTCTTCCAAAAGAATTCTTTGATAAGCTAAATGGTATCTTTAATAGATTTATTTGGAATAACAAAAAACCTAGACTAAGACTTCGCTTGTTGTACCTGCCGTATGACAGAGGGGGATTACAACTCCCTAATCTTAGACTGTATTACTGGGCTGCACAACTGCGCTCAGCCATGTTTTACTTTTCCACTGAGACACCCCCGGCCTGGTTACAAATTGAGCAAACATCAGTAACAAATCTTCAGTTGAATTTGTATTTATATTCTGCAAGCTTAAACAATTTTAAAAAAATGACAAATAACCCCTTTTTAAAAAACACAATAGATATTTGGTATAGGGCCCATCAGTATATGGGAGATAAGTCTTCTATCTCTCGTTTCACACCTATTTGGGGCAACATATGTTTTAAAGCAGGAAGAGCGGATGGGGGTTTCAAAATCTGGGCAGATAAAGGTGTACAGAAGGTGGCAGATCTTTATAAGGATGGCAGTTTTCTTACATTTGATCAGCTATGCCGAATATACGGCATCCCCAAAAAACATTTTTTTAAACATTTACAAGTTAAACATTTCATTATGTCAAAATATAAACAGATTGTTTCTGAGCCACCATTATCACACTTGGAGAATGTTATACTTCAAATGCCAGTGGGTAGAGGTCATATCTCCTCAGTTTATACAGCTCTATTAACACATAATAAGGAATCTGCCATTGACAAGTTGGACGCATGGAGAGCTGACATCCAAGAGGAGATACAGGAGGTGGACTGGGAAACTGCATGTTTAAAAGCCCAAAGACAATCAATTAATACGAGGATGAAACTTCTACAATATAAGTGGTTGATGAGAACTTACATAACCCCAGTCAAACTGAATCGCTGGTCACCTGTCATTCCAGATAGCTGCAGTAAATGTTTAGACGGGAAGGGCACTCTGCTTCACTGTGTATGGAGCTGTCCAAAATTACAACAGTACTGGGTATCAATCACGCAAACTTTATCGAAGATTGTTGGAGCAAGTATACCTGTTGAAGCAAAATTGTGTGTGTTGGGTATATATCCAAAGAACTGTGACTTTAGCATCAGACAGATAAAGTTAATTGATTTTGGACTCCTGCAAGCGAGGCGCTTAATATCTTTGTATTGGAAGAAAATGGATGTACCCTCAAGCCATATGTGGGTCAAGGAGATGGCATCATGTATTGCATTGGAACGACTTACTTATATTGTCAGGGGAAAGGGGGCATATTTTGAAGAAATATGGTTACCTCTAATTGAGTTTCTGAGACATTATGAAGTGAATTAATCTGGAAAGTGATACTTGGTGCTGATTATATATATATATTTTTTCCTTTTCTTTTGTTGTTTATTATTACTGTTGTTTTTTTTTTGTTTTTTTATATATAGTTGTTTATTTTGAGGACTATGTTCTTTAATATAAATCCCATGTTAACTGTACTATTATTCTTGAGTGTTCTGTATTATAAACTTCAATAAACATAATGTTAAAAAAAAAAAAAAAAGAGTCGCCTCAAGGCACTTCACAAAGTAAGCATTCCAATACAGGTCAGTTCATTAAGCCAATCAGTAAAAATGTTCCTGTATAAGGAACCCAGCAGGTTGCATCGAGTCACTGACTAGTGTCAGAGTCTTTACAGCAATCCTCATACTAAGCAAGCATTTAGCGCCAGTGGAGAGGAAAACTCCCTTTTAACAGGAAGAAACCTCCAGAGGATCCTGGTTCAGTATAAGCAGCCACCCGCCATGACTCACTGAGCTGTGGTGGCCTCATGGAGGGGGCGGCCATCGGCTGGCACACTTGACTGAAATCAGGTGTGTTCAAACACAGGGTTAAAACTAAAACCTGCTGGATACTGGCCCTCCAGGCCCGGATTTGAATACCCTGATATGAGGGAAAATAGCAGGGGACCTAAGATGGATCCCTGAGGGACTCCTCATCTTACAGGAGAGGCAGAGGACAAGAAATGACTTAAATTAACTGACATGCTTCGACCTGACAGATAAGATTTGAACCACTCCAGATCAGTACCTCTGATTCCAACCCACTGGTCAACTTGGAAATTGCGATATTATGATCGATGGTGTCAAATGCAGCAGATAGAACCAGGAGCATAAGGATGACAAAAAATTGGTAGCCATTAAAATGTCATTATAGACCTTTAATAGTGCTGTTCCTGTACTATGATGGGTTTTAAAACCAGATTAAAATACTTTGTGTACACCAAGCCTGTCCAAAATTGCAGGAGGAAGGTTTCTTCAGCAGAAAATTTACTGTAACATGTGTCAGCTGTGTTGGAACAACACCCGACTCCAGGCTGCTGTTTGCTATGAGGAAAACTCTTGTGGCAACAGACGTTGATACCCTCTTCAAAAAACCCAGCAGGAAGTACATCAGTGTGGTAGTGTGGCATTTTCAGTTTACTCACAATTTTGTCAAGTTGACCTATAGTAACTGGCTCAGAAAGGCAAGACTAGCGGGAGGCAGAAGTGTGAAGTGAAAGTAGTTCTACATTTTGTGGAAGTTGGTCAAATTCTGAGCATCAAACACAAGACAAACAGGAAGTGTTGTCAAAGGGGCTTTCTGCACCAAACGAGCTAATCTTTAGAGCCACTATGTGAGAGCAGGTCAGCCGGTGGCCCTTGAGGCTGAGCAGTAAACATTTCTTTGGAACTCACTTTAGCTTCTCTCAGCTGGAAATTCCACTTTGATCTTCCACATTATTTCTTCTCTCAGCAGCTCAGAGTTTTCTCAGGCTCCACCTCTTTTTCTATATAAACGTGTCTCCTCTGGGACTTTCCACCAGCAGCCCAACGTGCACACACACACACATGCACTTGCATGTGCGTACACTTGGAAAACAACAAGGACAACAGGTGGTAGAAGAGAAACATCAACACTCTGGTGGATTAATCTTCCTCTTTCTCACAGACTGAAGCAGAGAACGGTTGCTCTGCTGCAACAGCTCTGGTCTCAACTCATTTATACTGCTGACTAGATCAGTGGTGGCTCATCCATAGGGGGCGATAGGGTGCCACCCCACCAGTCTCAGAGGAAGAAGAAGAACATAGGAATAAAAAAATATAAATGCATATTAAAAAACAAACCATGAAAATAAACTAAAATAAAAAATGTTATTTACACTTAACACTATCGAATTGTGTTGTGACGTATTTCCTGTTACTTTTGGGCGCAGCAATCACTACCACAGTCACATGCTAACTGGTGCATGTGCGCTGGACCCCCCCTCCAATACAAAGAATAGGAGAGCCTTTGGGCGCAGGTTTACAGCGCCTGTGACGACACACGCAAAAGACCGGCAACGCAGTACAAGCTCAGGTCAGGACAAAACCAGAAATTCTATACAGTTCACCATCCTGTGCTGTTGTTGAGCAGCTGAGTACACTTCGTGGAGTTTTTTTATTATGAAGAACCAGAAAATGATGGAATGTGGTATCAGAGACTTTTGAACACTCTCCTGCATGTGTAAAGGTGGAATATTTTTACGATAACATGGATTATTACAACCTTAAACCAGCAAATGTAAGACTGAGTTCATGCTTTTAACTCCATGAAATTAGCTTTGTTTGTTTTTTATGCTAAATTTGCTAATACTGGTGAATATTAAGCATGTTTTTGGAACAGTTTTGCTTTCACTGGTCTGTTGGTGTGACGCAAAAGAATGGTGACTTAGCATTACCTGGTGGTGATACGCAGATAGCGCATCAGAGTCCTCACAACTGCAAATTTCAGACTTAATTATGAGAATTATGAGCAATGAGGCTATTTTTATTACATTCATAACATGAACACTTTTCTAATCCGTGTTTCTCCCGAAAACCTTTTGTTTTTGACTAGAAAAATTATGAAATAATGATTAAATATTTACAATTTTGACATGTTTTATTTAAACACATTAGAGACTTATGTTTAGTGAGTTTTTTTCTTTTTCTTTTCTGCCTGCTTGAATTTTGCTGTTGGTTTAAAAAAAACAAGAATGTGATTTGAAATAACGCATTTTTAAAAGATTATTTTTTTTCTAATAAACTATCACTTTTTTAATTTATCTGCCCATAAACCATCATTTTGTAAGGAAGAAAATGGATAAGAAAGATGTTAATAGTGCATATTTATTTAATAAACCTCATTATTCATATGCACCTTCCCACAACAGGCCATGCAAATGTGGGCTGGCATGCTGTTTTCAGCACAGCACTTGTTAAATTTTGCCCCATCCAAAAAGACTTTCACCAGCCGCCACTTAAGACTATTTTGAAAAAAAAAAAAAAAACTCAAAGGAAGTGCAGAAACAAGACTACTGACTGCTGTTGAACACACGAACACATGCACGTGAACAAACCCTCAACACCATCAAGAAGTGAAACCGTGACTGGGGTTTCTCACCTCTGTTCCTCTGAGGTCTCTAGGAATGTAGATGTCCTCTGTCATCTGAACCGTCAGGCCGAAGTCCACCAGCACCGCCTTGTCTGACATCAGGACGATGTTACTGGCTGAGAGTAAAGAGAACACTCAGACGTAGAGACGAGCAGACATTTGACAGTACTTAGGGCCTTTACTTGGCTCTGCAGACAGCTTTGTTCAGTTCGTTTGCACGTGTCGAGTTGAACTGGAGGTGATGTCAGGTACGTCACATGATGCATCAGGAAGTTAAACGATAAGCTGTGTGTGTGTGTGTGTGTGTGTGTGTGTGTGTGTGTGTGTGTGTGTGTGTGTGTGTGTGTGTGTGTGTGTGTGTGTGTGTGTGTGTGTGTGTGTGTGTGTGTGTGTGTGTGTGTGTGTGTGTGTGTGTGTGTGTGTGTGTGTGTGTGTGTGTGTGTGTGTGCGCTATCAAAGCCAGTTGGAATTTCCAGACAACCAGGCCTCAGTGCTCAGAAGCAGACAGGCCCGTGAGAGGAATCTCATGTTGTTGTTTACAGAACGGTTTTTCTGTGTGACCGAAACAAACATGCCAACTTTTCCTCCCGTAACACACCCTGTATGATGGATTTATGTATTTCCCACTAGCAAGAACTCAACTATGACTTGACTTTGAAGTCTAAGGACATTACATGCTGCTGGGCTGTTTGCACATCAACAGTTCAACAGGAGACATGTCTTCCCTCCCTTCTCTTACGTTTGATGTCGTGATGGATGACGTTGTGGGAGTGCAGATACTCCAGGCCCCGCAGGACTTGCTTTGCCACCCAGATGATCTCAAACTCTCTCATGGGTCCGCAGCTGTCCACCTTCTCCAACACCGATCCCCCTTCACCTGCTTCCATGAACAGGTGGACGTTGTGGTCCCAGAACATGGCACCATAAAGCTCTGCAATGTTCTCGTGGCGGAAGCGGGCCTGGAACTCCACGTCGGCTGCTTTAAAGTTTTCTATTGGAATCTGTCAGGAGGAGATTTAGGAGATAATGAGCCCATAAAGCAAGGTGACCTACACGCTGCACTTTAAATTCTATAAATAAATGTAGTTTTTTAATCCAAATCTATTTGTGGACTATTGTTAACATACCAACTGTTTAGTAATCAGTTTTATTTTATTAACGTTAAAGTCCCATTAGTCGTCATCCACGGGTGGAACTTGTTCTATGCATTTAACCAATCCCCTGGGGGCGCTCAGGAACCACACGGTGGTTTAATTATTACCCAATTCCATGGACATAAAACAGTAATACAGGATAAAACGGGCCTTTGCTAACGTAGCTCATCCACCAGCAGGCAGCAGATATGCTTAGGACTGACATGGCAGGTTTCTGATAAACTATCCTGATGCTTTAAGGCCACGAGTGGTTTGATGTGTATTTGTGATGATTTGAAACCAAAGTCACATGATCACAAATACTTTGTTCTAAACAGCGTTTCCTGAGTAGGCGCCTCAGGCCAGCTCATCAGATCTGATGCGCTGTTGGAAGTCCTTTAGGTAGCTAACAAGCTTTTGATTTACCCTTTAGTCACACAGACCTGCAATGCCTTCACATTTAACTTTGCAAAAACGAACTTTAAAAGGATTTTGCAATATTGACAATTTCTAGCTAGGAAACTTCCCTGTTTGATCTTCCACGAAGTACGCACACGCACACACACACACACACACACACACACACACACACACGCACACATTGTTGAAAAAAATAAGTGATTTGTGAATACATGTACAGAAATCTAAAGAGCAGCTGCAGGAAGGTTTTATTTCTGTTCTTGCGTGAGAGGAACACGTCCTTTTAAGGGCACTCGGTCCTGTTCCTCTAGTGAATGTGACTCACAGCATCCGCACAATCCTGGAAGTAGCTGTGTCAATAAAAAGCTGCTTCTGGCGGCATAGAGAAATACACGATAGGGCTGCTCGATTATGGCAAAAATAATAATCACGATTATTGTGACTGAAATTGAGATCTCGATTATTTAGGACGATTTTTCAATTTATGTTGATTTTATTTGTTTTTATTCAGCCATAAAATTGCTCAGGGCACAATCAGGACAAAAATAAATAAGAAACAAGATGATCACTAAAATAACTCCTGATTCCCAGTATAAACAGACCAATATACTTATAGCTCATAGTCTATGACCCAATGGCTGTAGACCTTGGTTTAACTCATTTAAGTCTAACCAGTACAGACCCAAATACCAATATCCTGCAAATACTGACAGCAAGAATTATACAGTGGCATTTATAACAAATACATGCAAATAAATTGATGTTCACAAAATCTTGCATAACATTTACTGAGTCATGTCAAGGTGCTGTAGGAGAGTGCACTAGCACCGTGTCCTCAGAGAGATTAGTTATTAGTTATCAGCGTGAGGAACTTGTTTCTACTTTATTTATAAACTATTTATTTACAATCCATCAGTTAATGTAATAATTGTCCCAACCACAGCTGCACCCCCCACCCCCCAACCCGGTCTCAGCCATCGGGGCAAGCTGCACGTGTGTTTAGCACGCCGTACACCAGGGGCGTGTCCAGGGAGTGGCCTGGGGTAGCACATGCCACCCTTGGAATCTGATTGGCCATCCCAGGTGCCACCACACTAATTTACTTTAAATGGGCTTTTCATTGTCCACAAAAGGCTTGGGGGTAAAACAAAAAAGCATAACCATTGGTGCCACCCATGCATAAAGTTGTGCCTCACCTGGGCCACCCCATTTTAAAAGATCTGGACACGCCACTGCCGCACGCGCACATTTAGCCGTTTTTAGCGGCTCAGGAGTCCGCAGGTGCGGTGTGTGTGTCACTCACTCTGGTTGACCCAACAGGGAGCCGGCCCTGAGAGCCGTTTCTTTAGCGACCGACACATCACTACATCATTCCCTTTCCTAATGTCCTGAAGAACGGTCCGGAGCGCAGGCGGAGTGTTTAGCTAACCTGCAGGAAATGTCGACGACAGTTATCCAGAAAGTAGCTAAGGGTTACCAGAGATGTTTCTGAGGTGTTTGCTAGGTACTTTTAAGATTTAAAAAGTCAAGAAGGGGGTCTGAGAAGCTGTTAGAAATAGCGTCAAAGTCGCCAAGTTGGCAACACTGTGGGAGGAGCGCTTCATTTGTAACTCAGGGCAGCGCAAGTGGGAGGAGCAAATAATCGGCTTGTTTTGTTTTTATAATCGGTCAAAACTCAGATCGTAATTGTGATTAAAGTTTGATTAATTGAGCAGCCCTAATACACGATGAACTGAATTCCAGTCAGACTCACCAGTTTACAGGCCATCCTCTTCCTGGTCATGGTGTCCTGGGCCAGGTGGACTTTCCCAAAGGAACCCTTGGGAACAAGGCCAGAGCCAGGATTCTTGTAGGTCAATTTCCAAGGAAACAAAAGCACATCCATGCTGACCTGATAGCGACCTTTTCTAATCGCCATATCTTTCTGAAATGGAAAAGAGAAAGATTGGAAAGTAAAAAAGCTCATGAAAATGTTTTTTATGCAGGCAAATTGAAAACTAGGCACACCTTGCTCAGGAGGACTCCCATCTCCTTACTGAGGTGCTGCAGGGCTGATGTCTGCATGTTAGACAGGAAGTTCACAAAAGACAGGAGGTCTGTCACTGTCCCATACTGAACACCCCCAATTTCATTAGCATAGTCCTTCTGCTCATCCACCAAACCTGCCTCCTCCCTCTCGCCCATCTCCTCCTGGCTGGCCTCCTCTAGCTGATGGAGCATCTCTGCTGCGTTGATAATGTCCTCTACATTCATGTGAGCCAGCAGCAGTTCTAGTCCAGTTTCATATCTGTAATCCATCTTTATGCTCAGCTTCTGCTACTCCGCCTGAATTCCTGCATCAGGAGGTGACGTTTTGGGCAAATCACCAAGCTCCTGGTCAGAAAGGAGAGAGAACAAGAACTTAGCTCGGCTCCAGCTTCAACACAACTGTCTGAACCCTGAAGCTGAAAAGGGCCTCCGAGAGCACTTCTCTATCCACATCAGGACAGTCTGGTCAAGCTGGGAAATTCCAGAAACCCGTGGAGGACTCGGCTTGTAAAACCCCCCAAACAAAACAAAACAGAAAACTTTAAGGTTTAGATCAGCATTTAGTGCCTTCTAATAAAGAAATGTAAAATGTTTACATTAATTCTCCTTTTATTAATGCACTTTATATTATCTAATTGCATTAGACTGAAATACCTGCTAAAATGTTGTGTTTATAAGTAAACATTCTCAGTATATATGTATATGTACACACACAGGCAAATAAAAGGTTATTTTAAGCGAATAAACCATCACGAGCCGGTTATTTAGGGTCAGTCGTGAATAAAAGCACTTGCCTTGGGTGTTCTCTGCGGTCTCCGGAGTCGCATCTCTCCTCCAGACTTGAGCCCTTCTGCCGTCAGAGACGACTGTCGACTTGACTCTCGGAAGGAAGTAAATACCGGAAGTTAGAGTCCAAACACACGTAGGTATTTTTCTTTTTCTTCTCTTTTTTATTTTGGCTTTAAAAATAGGATGGATTTTTTTTCTAAACATTTGTGTTTTCTTTTAAATTGGTTACAATAAATTGTTTCAATGTTCAGTTAATGTTTTTATCCTTTTATAAATTTGACAAACCTAAAATAAAAATAATTTAGGCGATTGAGACCTTTTGGTGCCTCTTGCTTGCCGTAGCTCAGAGTTTGCGCATGCGTAATCTGGCTTTTACTTGAACAACTATGGCGTCTTCCATAGCCGTTTCTCGGTTACATTTGAGGGGAAGGACCTGCTTGTTAAATTGTTTACAGAAGGTGGACACGTTTCTGCACAGGGGTGTTGGAACAGACGCTGCTGTTGCCCAAGCGCAGACAACTGAGAGAGACGGAAGTGGTTCGTACAAAGAGTTAAATAACTTTACAGGGACAACTGTTTCAAACCTCTTTAAGAAATCATGAGTTTTTGTTTCCTTGGCTCCAGTTTGCAGAGTTGATTGGATTTCTAAAGTATTGTATGTTTGTAAAATATCATCTAGGTTCAGGTAACTTTCGGCATTGTGTTTGCCCAGGCAAATCTTAAGGAATGAAAAACAATGCGCGTTTCTGTCAGTATGCCCCGGGGCAGCTGCGTCCACAGCTCGTCACCATGTGACTGGATGAATGGTTTACAGTGGTGTAAAGCACTTTGGAGTCCGCTGACGCACATAGGCGCTCATTAAGTTAATTCATATTTGTTTTTCTTGATGTGAATGTTTGGATTTTTCTGATAGACTTAAGCCAAGGTTTGTGTTTGCACACTGATGTCTGAGCTTTTGCCTCTGGCTGGTTACATACCGTACGTGCTTCGTTTTCTGATTATTGAAAATAATCAATGCATTCATTTGAATGTGTTCATGCATTCATTTGAATGTGTTCAAAACAGACTTGCTTGGACTAGTGTCCTATCTGGGTTAGTCTGACCTTCATACCTACTGTCAGCAATATTAGGGAATATTGATAAATCAGTAAATTAACAAACCTTTATTGGAGTTAAACCCCCCACACAGTTTCTCCTTGTGTCATGATAAATGATCCGCACTTGTATAGCGCCTCTCAGAGTAAGGACTCCAAAGCGCTTTACACTACAGTGTATCATTCATCCATTCACACACACATTCACACACTGATGGCGATGAGCTACAATGTAGCCACAGCTGCCCTGGGGCGCACTGACAGAGGCGAGGCTGCCGAGCACAGGCGCCACCGGTCCCTCCGACCACCACCAGCAGCAGGCAAGGTGGGTTAAGTGTCTTGCCCAAGGACACAACAGCAGAATTCTCTGTCCGGAGCCGGGATCGAACCTGCAACCTGCAACCTTCCGATTACTGGACAACCCGCTCAACCTGTTGAGCTACTGCTGCCCCAGTCATAACTCTGTTAAACATCAGAAATGCTTGCCCATGTTTCGAGGCATGATGAAAGGGACTTCCTTTAGCATTCCAGGGATCAGAAGGTGCTGACGTATTGAACATCCACTACACCATACATGGGATGGTCTCATGATGACCAATGAATCTCTCTGAGCCGGATCGAGGGCAGTAAGCGTCAACAACTACTTTGTGGTGTATTTAGTATGGATGTAAGAAAATATCGATATGACTATACGGTGATATTTTGTCCAGCGATATTCAATCAATATTCGAAAGCCGTGTATCAAACTTTTGGAATAATTTACATGCAAACATTTGTGTATTTTCTTTTCTTTTGGTGCAATTGAAATGCTGACTGCTAGTTAGCAGCAGTGTGCAAAGGGATTTGTTTCCACCATTCAAATGTAAATTGTAAGGATGCACCGATATCACCGATATGCACCGATTACAGATACCGATACTTCTACCACACAAAAATGCAATGAATCAGAATACAGGTTTTATTTTGTTCTCTGCTTTCAACAGGAAAAGACTGTGACGTTGATAAAAATAAAATACATTAATAGAAATGATCACAAAATAAAATATTAGATGAACAGAAATGACAAGTAACAGTGAAGCCACTTTCAGGCGACTGCATGGTATCAGTTAACATTTACCGATTCTGGTACACTGGTATCTGTATCTGCCCCATGCCAGTGCATCCCTATTAAATCCCTCTATTATGCTTCAGAGACCTCATGGTAAACATGTTACGTATCCGTTTGAACTGTTTATTGAATTTTCTACATTCAATTCAGTCAAAGAAATTGCTAATATCATCTCTCCTGTATCGTGATACGTATCGTATCGCCATAACTTCACTAACGCACATCCCTAGTATTTAGTAACCTTGGTCAGTATTTATAAATTTGGCTCATTAAGCCCAGATATCATGAAGTAAACCGTCTGCCAAAGCGTCCACTGTCTGTACTGAATGTTTGTTCTAATGATTAGAGGTTACTCCGTAATCACAGGTCCAGTAATCTAAATGTGCTTTAAAGTGTTTTGTTAAGGGAAAACTACAAATGTGGATTTCACTCCCCTGCCTTGTCATCAGAGGCAAAGGATGGACGCCGGTCCCTGCTTGCTGTCCAGGATGAGAGACGAGAACAGGCAGAGAAATCCGTCCTCATCAGCTGCCAGTCCAGACCCAGCGAGAAGAAATTCCTCAAGTACTTATCGAGACACGGAGACGTCAACAAGTACTTCTTTTATGAAAGTTATGTGAGTGAACGATTTGTTGCTTGTAACGTGTGTGTGTGTGTGTGTGTGTGTGTGTGTGTGTGTGTGTGTGTGTGTGTGTGTGTGTGTGTGTGTGTGTGTGTGTGTGTGTGTGTGTGTGTGTGTGTGTGTGTGTGTGTGTGTGTGTGTGTGTGTGTGTGTGTGTGTGTGTGTGTGTGTGTGTGTGTGTGTGTGTGTGTGTGTGTGTGTGCGTGTAGTATAATGTTTGACTGCTCTGCTGGGGTGTTTCTGTTGTTGCTGCAGGGCGTGTGTGTGTGTGTGTGTGTGTGTGTAGTATAATGTTTGACTGCTCTGCTGGGGTGTTTCTGTTGTTGCTGCAGGGCGTGTATGCTGTCGTGGAGTTTGCCAGCCGGGACGGTGTTGCCTCTTTGATTGAGGCTGCTACAATCCCAAGTGTCAGCCATGAATCCATGGTGCCTTTCAAGTCCAGGCTGCTGTCTCTCAGATCTGTGGACTCGCTGAACCACCAGTCCGGCCTTCCGTGCCAACCTCAAACCAGCGTTTCCATCAGTGAACTCGTCCACAGGCTGTCCAGCGAGGATAGCGTAAGCGTTTGTGCTGTTTCATAACAGGCAGCCTGTTCTTAACTTATGAATGTGCTCTGATGGCACTGGTCCTGAGTCATGCTTCTCCTTCACGTCTCCTCCCAGGTGGAGCAGCAGATAACCTCCCTGACAGAGGCCTTCCAGCTCACAGAGGAGAACAGCAGGCTGCGTTTCCTTGTCTGCTCTCTTCTCAACGACATTGCAGCAGCTTATTTCCCAGAATGCACCATCAGACCATTCGGCTCATCGGTGAATGGCTTTGGGAAGCTTGGCTGTGACCTGGACATGTTCCTGGATCTGGACAGCATCAGTGGGTGGAATGTAAAACAGGTAATGATGCGTGAGTCTGTATCTGTAAGACACTGAACTGAAGCTTTCTTTGATTCCATTTAGGAATTGTTTGAGTGCCTGGCATGGGAAACACGCGCCCTGATGTGTAAATCGTCAGATCTCGTGTGTTTGACAGGATTCTGTCACCGCAGGCCTTTCATGAAGTGTGTCTGGATCATTAAACATGTCAGACCGGTGTGTTTGCAGCCTAAAGCGGGACTGTTGCTGGAGTACCAGATGAAGCGGGCCAACTCGGAGCGCGCCGTCACCCAGAGCATCCTTTCTGTTATTGGAGAATGTGTGGACCAGTTTGGACCTGGCTGTGTCGGTGTGCAGAGGATCCTCAACGCTCGGTGCCCGCTGGTTCGGTTCTCCCACCAACCCTCGGGTTTCCAGTGTGACCTCACAGCCAACAACAGGTGCGCCCCTGCACTTACACACTCGCTGTGTACATTTTGTCAGGGCTATTTCAGCTTGCCCTTTGTGCTGCAACGTATTGGGACATAAAGTTTGGTTTCACTCGCACAAAGGGTCAAATACTGAAATGCCAGCTCTGCCGGTGACGGGCACGGTCAAATCACCCATCATTAGTTTTCATTTAAATTGTATACGTGTGATCCAGGGCAAAGCCGATTAGAAAACAGTCCTTTTAGCCCCGTCGACTTGCATTCTTCTTTTTTTTTTTTGTTCTTCTGGGGACCCACAAGCCGACCGGAAAGAGAGGAGACTAATGGGCCATTCCCATCTGTACCGGGTCGGCCCGGGCCGGGTAGCGTAGGTTGTTTACATATCTGGGTGGCCTGGTATTTTTCCGGGCCGACCAAGGCTCATTCTCAGCCCTCTTCTCGAGGGGGTCTGCTTCAGGCCGACCAGGGCCAACACACCCACTGCTGACAGCAAATTCACACCTTCCATTAGAGCAAGCCTCTGATTGGTGGGTAGAATCAGCCCACATGGGCTTAAGACAAGGATGTGTGGAATCAACCGGGCCAGGCTGGGGCCGACTGGGGCTGCCCGGCCCGGGCCGACCCGGTACTGATGGGAATGGCCCACTAGGCTTTCTATGTCTGACCAGGGAATGCCTTGTGGTTCCCCCGGAGGAGCTGGGGAGGCTGGAGAGAGGGAGGTGTGGGCCTCTCTGCTTGGGCTACTGTCTAGTGATGTGTCGGTCGCGAACGAACCGGCTCTAAGAGCCGGTTCTTTGAAGTGAACGACGGAAGCCATCCCCCCCGCCTTGGTGAAAGCCACAGGATTGGTCAGCATGTGTAACTGCGTGTCCAGACTGTCCACACACAGAGCAGTAGGGGCGGGGAAGAGGGAGGATCAGACTCAGACACACAGCAGAGCACATGCGGGCGGAGGGAGACGAGAGGGAATGAGGAGGAGGAAAAAGGCGAGCGAGAGAGAGGAGAGTGCGACGAAGACGGTGAGAAAATGAGCGGCAGCAGTCGGAAAGTGGACATTTCTTAAAGTGATCAGTTATTAAAACCATAGAAATGATAAATATTTAATATATTGCATTTGTTTTTTACATTAGTAAATTATTTTACATATAGTTTAGCATTATTTTGGTTATAAATGTACTCTACGCAACAGAAAATCTGAGGAGCCACTTGGGAGCCGAAAGAGCCGGCTCTGTAAAAAGAGCCGGATTTCCCATCACTACTACTGTCACCACGACCTGACCCCGGATAGGCGGGCGGAGGTGGATGGGTGGGTGGGCTGTGCCGACCCAGATGTGAAAGCCCTGTTAGCCACATCTAACCTTCAGCTCCTCCTGTAGAGCTTCCCAGCTCCTGGCTGAGGTCGAACCTCCAGCTGACACTTTAAAACACAACAACGAAGCATTTTAATGTTTGAATGTAGGCCTAAAATCTGTTGTGTAGCATGTTCAGATTGACATTTGTAGCCGTGAGCATTAACGGTGATCTGTGTCTTCTCCACAGGGTGGCCATGATTAGCACAGAGTTGCTCTATCTTTATGGCGAGCTGGACCCGCGGGTACGCCACCTGGTCTTTACCATCCGCTGCTGGGCTCGGGCTCATGGCATCACCAGCAGCATACCAGGAGCCTGGATCAGCAACTTCTCCCTCACTGTCATGGTGCTGTTCTTCCTGCAGAAGAGAAATCCTCCTATAATTCCCACACTGAACCACCTCAGAGACCTTGCAGGTACTACGGAGCTCTTTAACTGTGGCTCATTACCTGGTGATGTGCGGGTTGCCATTACCTGTGCCTTCAGGAGACAGGGCAGGTCGTACATCTGACTGGTCACCAGTTCCCCACAGGGCTGACACTGTTGGTGGGCCTATGCCCAATCATAGAGGGGAAGTGAGCCTTTTATCTCTTCCACATGAAAACACAGCAGGATTTACAGGAATCACACGTTAAAGCCGTAAACCGTTACTGGAATTGTTGGAATGTGAGATTTTGGTCCTTGTTTTTCTTTATTTGCCTCCATTCTGCAGTCTGATCGACTCCTTAAAACAGCGTCTGCAGGTCCCCCCCCCCCCCCTCTTCTGTCACCTTGGCTGTCTGATGAGTAATCCCCCCCCCCCCCCCTCCACCTCTTTTTCTCCCCTGCAATCGTTTTATCACAGACTCCATCACACAGAGTGCTTACAAGACAATAAACAATGAAAAAGCCATCGCTCTAGAAAGGTTGTTGACCCCCCCCTACCCCCACCCCCGTGCGCACGCTCCCTCTTCTATATTTAGTTTCGTCTCATTGAACCCTCAGACATCCATCTGTGACTTGTTTATGACCGTCATAGCTGCGTAAAGCCAGTGGTTTCACCTCGTATCTTCTCGTCCCACAAGGTCCTGCAGACAACAGCGTGATTGAGGGGCACGACTGCACGTTTGTCAGAGACTTCAGCAAGATTCACCTTCAGAGAAACTCCGAGACTCTGGGTAAGAAGGGCCGCAGATCTTTAGTTAGATAAATAGTTTCTACCTGTAACCTCTCTGAGCTCAACAAAGTACAACACAGACCTCTTCATGCATGCAAACACACCTGTAAACCCATGTAAAGCCTAACATTGGTAGAACCTAGGCCGGGCAATAAATAGAAAATGCATCGTTATCGAAATTTCTGACTCTTGTCGATCATTTTTCCCATCTTAATAAATTTGATAATAAAAAAATGAAAATGGGTGAGTGTTGGCCCCTTTAGGAAGCTGTATCACATTGAGTCGTGTAAAAATGTGACTCAGCGTAATACGTGTGAGACAGCCCCATCTAGTGGACAGCTTTTGTTTCTGCACATACCTGTAGTTATCGTCCGTTTATCGTTATCGAGGTGAAATCCTCAAAATATGGTGGTATTGGCTTTAGGCCATGTTGCCCAGCCCTACTGGAGCAGATGATAAATGGACTAATGTTATTTTGGACCTGTGTTTCAGAGACTCTCCTGTGTGAGTTCTTTGTGTTCTATGCCACCTTCCCGTTCAGCAGGATGTCCATAAACATCAGAAAGGTACGTCTAGTTATTTATCATCGTTTTATTCAGGGATGCACCGAAATGAAAATGCTTGGCCAAAACCGAAAACGAGGAAACCAAGGCTGAAAGAATAGGTTGGAGAAGAATGAAGAGAAAAATTCTCAGTAGCAGAAAACTCACATTTCTGAACTTGGTGTAGGTGCTGAAGGATTTCACGTCTATTCCAAAGGGCCAGAAAGGCTCGTTAACTCAACAGTCATAAAAGATATCAATACCAAAGTCACAGCGAGCATGAACTGAAGGAGCTGAACGTGTTGATATACAATAATAATGATAAATGTACGGCTTGTAAATGGAAGGCCTGCTGAGTACTGTAGAATTAACCCTAAGGAGAGTAGATATAGGGTGTGTGTGTGTGTGTGTGTGTGTGTGTGTGTGTGTGTGTGTGTTGTCAAATGATAAAAATTTTAATCTAATTAATCGCAGGTAGCGCTGCACGATATTAGGAAAACCTAAAAAAAGAAAAGTTAAAAAAGAAAAATATGCGATAAGGGAGATTAATATTGCGATGAAAGATATTAATTGCGATAAATAAAAACTTAACTCAGGAACAAAAATAATCAAAAACATTTAAAAATGACAAAAACATCATAAAAATGAGAAAAGCATAAGATGTGAGGAAAGGGGAAAAGAAAATGAACAAGAGAAGGTCTTCAGTGGATCCCAGGAAAAGCAGAAAGAGCAGAACAAAGCTAACTCAGGTGTTTGCTAACCATTAACATTAAGTGCCGTCCGCCTCGGGGGCGAGCATCTGACCCATGAGAACCCACCCGATTGACCAAATGGATGAAGAGCTCTGTTTGGTTTGTTAAAACAACATCCTGCTTCTGTTTCAGTGGCAGAAAGCATTACATCATGTGTAGCAAACATTAGAGCTGCGATATTTATCTGTTCTTTGCTACATGCGTATTGCGCATGCTGATATCGCGATAACGATATATTTGCGATATATTGTGCAGCCCGGATCACAGGGTGAATTAATTATCATTTATTTACATTCCTAAAAATTGCTGAAAAATTCAGATTTTCTGGTGTAAATAAAGGACAAAAAACGTGAAACATTTTATATTTATTTTACAAAAATATAGTTTATTGACACTGAACCCGTCAGTTCAATCATATCACATGAAAAATAAATGTGTGCTTTTTGGGCATAGCGAATACGGAAATGCATTTTATTTCTCTTTGATCAAACTAAAACACGACTTAATTTAACATTTTAGGAACTTTCGCTCTTTTTTTAAAGGAAATGCGAGATGTGCGTTGAACATTTCTTTAAACTATCCAGTGTGCAACCACGGCCCTTACAACCTATTCATCTTTCAGCCAGTTGCTGAGACAAACTAGATGATTTACATTTTCTGATTTCTAAGATGGGCGTTTGTTCTGAACCATATGGCCCGCGACCGAGAACAGAAGCTCGTATGGAACCGTAGACGCAGGAGTTGCTAGATATTTGCGGGCAAGCAGGGCCAGCTCTTCATGGGCTCCTGAATGACTGGCCCACCACTTCAGGGGGCCAGTCCTCCACACTTACGCTCGGCTCAGCTCTGTACCTGCATGTCTGTGTCAGGCTGCACCTCTTCATCTGACTGAATCTGAGCCCATCTGCAGAAGGCTAATTTTCTTCCCGGGTGGACCATCTTTAGAGTTCTGGAGAGACCTGTTCATTCAGCATTATTTCAAGTGTGGTCCAGACCTCTTCTCATTCACTCCTTTGCACACTCTTCAAGTCTTAGAAATGTGGATCCAGCGCTGTGGCAAGCTTGAGCCATTGCATTGTTCATCTTGCCTTGGCGGGAGGCGAGGTCTTCCATGAAGGTCTTCTTAAAATTTGCCACATATGCAGGGAGGGTCTTCTTCAGAGACTTTCATCTGTCGAAGCAGGTGGCAGAGTGCACGGAGCACAACTGAGCAGGATATGTAGGCATCCCCACCCAGAACTCGGTAATATACCTGCAGTAAAACAGGACACACGCACTTACGCACGCACACACACACACACACACACACACACACACACACACACACACTCACGTTATTAGAACACTGTTCGGTAAGCTGGAATTTGACTTTGAAATTAAACTTTTTTTTTTAATAACACAAACTAAGTGTGAATTCCTTGCCTGCAAGGCTGAAGAAGAGTGCTCGGTTACTGCAGTCTGTCCCATTCTACTGCTGTCAGCATCACCAGTTTGTGGCGCTGTTGTTCCAGGGTTGCTTGTATTGCTGCTTGATTGCGAATCAGACGCTCGATCATTTCCAGCGTAGAATTCCACCGTGTGGAGGCGTCTTGGATCAGGAGTTCCTGAGGCTGTCCCAGGGCAGCCTGCTGTGCTTGAAGCCCCGTGGTGTTTGCCGCCCTGTGTCTTAAGTAACCGATGATTTTGCGACAGTTGGCCAATGCATTCACAATCCACCATCACAAATACTCACGTCGATGCTTCTCTGTAGCATGTGAGCGATGCAGGGAATATGCTCATGTGGCAAAGGTTTAGCTGCAGCTGTCATGTCACGAGCACTGCCCGTCCCTATTTTTGTGATTTTTCATGTGCCACTTTTTGAAACTGTTGTGCACATGTCTGTGCAAAGTGGCGTTCTTCTGTCTTAATTACGATTAAAGCAAACGACTTTGGTGTTTTGGTGATAAAATGCTCCGTTAACACCAAGATAGTTTTCGATACTCAGAGGTCCACTGTTCTCTGGTCAAAGCAATACATTGCACACAAAAACAAGTTGCATTAATTATAAGAAATTAATCAACTTGCATTAACATGTTTTCTTTTTTGACAGATCTAATGCATGTACACACACACACACACACATAAATACACATATATATATATATATATATATATATATATATATATATATATATATATATATATATATACATATATATATATATATATACATATATATATATAAATGCATCCTTATTTTTATGTGTGGCATTATTATGTTCTCCCTATGTATATGTGGGCTTTTTGGGGGGTACTCGCATTTCCTCCCACAGACCCAAAACGTGCATAGTATGTAAACTAGAGACCCTGAAGTTATCCTTGGGTATGGGTGGGTGGGTGGTTGTTTGTGTAATGCACTTTAGAGTTCTGACTCAGAAAGGTGCTAAACAAGCACAGTTCAGTTATCATTATCATTTGTTTCGGTGTGTCCCTGAAAAACTGGGGACCCGTCCGGGATGTCCACTGCCTTTCACCTGTTCACTCCTGGAGATAGACTCCAGCTCCTGGTGGCAGTACACAGAAAAATGGTTTCAGTAGTTTGATTAAAGAAATGAAAGGCTTTGGTTGTTTTGCACAAATGTTCAGTACGTGTGTGAGGGGTGGGGGACACCCTAGGACACACGTGTGAGACACAAGGCCCGCAGGCCACATCTGGCCTGTGGAGTATTTTTATGTCGCCCGCGAGATAAATATTGGCTGTGTCTCAATTCAGGGTCTGCATCCTTCGAAGGACCCAGCCCACCCGGCCGACGTGGGCTGGGTCCTCCGTCGGCCGAGTAGACCGGATGTTAACGGCTGTGAATTTGGACAGGCCTAGCCTTCATGAACTCCCTCGGCGAACGTTCCGTCGCCTAGCAACCGTGGAACCGCTGGGCAGAAGGGAGAAAGAACTTTAAACGATGGAGCTCGACGTTTTATTTAGCTTTTTAACCCCCAGAAACCCAAATTTAGAAAACAACTGCAAAATCTTTTTTTAACCTTTCACATGTTGTTCTAGGAGGCCAGATAAACGGGCCTATTTACACATTTTAACAGCCAATAGTGTTGCAGAACTGAACAATAGGACCTATTAGCAATGTAAATGTGGTTTTAACAAGAAAAAAAAATGGGGAAGGTTTATTTTTGTAGACTTTAATCTGATGTTGTAATATTACAACCGTGGGTCTCTGGGGGTTAATCATTTCCTTGATTGTTGGAGAGCTAATTCAGAGAAAATACTTTAGACAAGCTGAGCCTGAGCAAAGATGTGATAATAGTTTTTAATACTTTCTAAGGGTCTTAATTTGACCAAAACCGATTTATCACCTTTTAAGACTTTTCAAGACCCAGCGGATACCCTCTAGTAAACAATTCTACTTTGTAAACAAAAATAAAATTCAAGAGTTTAATGCAGAACTGATTTTATTTAGATATTTCTTTTATATGTACATGTTTAATCTTTATTAACCATTTTTTTCTAGCAAAGTAAAAAGCTGTCAAAGTTCTTCCTTCTCTCCTGTGCCCTCTGCTGCTCTGCCTCCCTCTGCAGCCTCATGTCCTCCCTGATCAGCTCCAGAAGCTGGTCATCGCTGGCACCTTCCCCTGGATGCCCATTTTCTCCAGAATAGTCTTAACAAACATGTAAGAAAAGAAACAGGAAGAGAAAAGAGGACAACGGGTTATTCCTTTCATGTTTTCGCAGAACAAAATAAACTCAAACGAGTTTTTAAAATATGAGATGTTATTGTACCTCCATGCCACAGCCGCCGAATACTTTGCTCCGGTGATCATGTGGTCCATCTCCGCCCTAAGCTTAATAAATTCCCTGGTTTTCTCTTTTGTTCCTAAAATACAAACTTCTATTAAAATCAGGGGGAAACGTAGCGGGAGAAGTACGACACCGAGCGCGGCCGAACATACGAGCCGAGACCGCAATACAAGCACTTTTACTGTTACATTTCTAACTAAAATAACGTTCATGTATCACAAAAAGGCCTTAACCTACCAATTTAAATTTATACTGACATTTATATGCGCAATCCTCTCCGACAGCTCCCGCTTCACTGTCTGCCGTTGTTTTTAAGTTTTTCTGCCGGCCGGCCCGCAAGGCATCTTGGGAAATGCTACCTATTGAAGGATACACCGGACCCATCCTTCATTCAGGCGAAAAGAAGGCCGCATTCGTCGACCGCATTTGAAGGAGTCTTCGAATTGGGACAGGCCTAGTCGCGGCGCTGTGACGTAACCGGCCGACGAATCCGGCCGACGTAGGATGCAGACCCTGAATCGAGACACAGCCATCAAAAATATATTAAAACTGACCCGCTGGCCGATGTCACAGCAAAGACTACAACTCCCATGATGCTTTGCAGCGTTAGCGCGGAGCCGAAGCGCCCCCTCCTTTGTGTTTTTTCCAGCATTTGCTGCCGGCGTCTGCAGCTTTGCCGTCTGGGACAAACTAAACACTCCTCTCACTCAGCGCTGAGTTTACTCAGCTATTTACCAACGTTGAAGCCCAGAAACGGAGATTTTAACCGCCCAGTAATGTGTTCACGACTGAAAGAGAAAGTTTTCCAACTAACTTCCAGACAGAGCTGATATAACTCCAGCGAGCAGCGACACGCTCAAACCAGCATGACTCTGTGGTTGCTGTCGTGTTTCCTCCCCGACACACAACAACGTGGTCAAGCTGTTCAGACATGTTCAGCAGCACAAACCTATGTGAGCACCTGTTGTCATCTAATGTTGTCATTATTATGATGAAGATGAACAAAACAACAGGAGTCTCCTCCTCAGCTCAGATCAACCCCATGTTGCAGGTATCTGGCTGGAACAGGTGAGCATCACAGTAAACCAGTGGAGCAAACTGAGCTTTAAATATGTTGGTTTTATGCTCTTTTTCTGCTCCAAAACATGAAAGTTAACAGGTGAAATGTTGCATTTTCATTTAAGATAAAATAATATTTTTATTTTGTTGTTGGCCCGTGAGAAAAGATTTAACCTACAGTAAACAGGAACAACTGCAGATAGATGAATAGAATAGAAAATCCCTTTATTGTTCCTCAGTGGGGAAAGCTAGACGTCACAGCAGCGATGACACTTATTACAGTAGAAAAAAGGAGAATAAAAAATAAGAAAAATGAATAAACAAGAAAACATAAATCCTGAATAGATTTTAAAAATGCTGATTATACCACAAGTAATGAATACCACTGATGCCTTTTATTTAAAACGGACTTGCTCGTGTGTAATTTGGTTATTCCACATTCAGTGTTAATGCAGAAATATGTTTGTTTCCAAATTAAAAGGTTCAAAATTGCATATATGTTGATAAAGAAAATGCGCAAATTTGCCGTCACTTTTTCAAAAAATATTAAGTTTGGCCCTCGACTCCGTCCCAGAGTTTCATTTCGGCCCGGTGTGAGTTTGAGTCTAACACCCCTGCCCTAGGAGGTGCTAAACTAATACAGGCTGTTTACCAATTTCATTTAGACATTGCTGAAAAGGTTAAATATAAAAAAAAATATTTAACATAATTAAAGGGCCAGAATGAGCTGAAAGTTTGATACCAAATTTTCTGAAGAAGCATTGTCCAGTCCTGGTCCGTGAGTTTACGTTATAAAAATGATTTAGTTGAAGCATGGTTGAAAAGCAATGTCTGGCTTTCATTGGTGAAATTTCATAGAAATAATTTTCAGATTCGAGGTATTTCAGTGACCATTGTGGGTTTTTCTTTCACTGACCAAAGGGTACCAACAATTTTGTCCATGTCAGTAAATCTAACACCATGACTAATTGTTTTTCATCAGCGTCTGAACAGATGAGCCTTAGCTAAGTTTCCATGCCCTGGTGTCCCAGTGTGAAGCATTTGAAGCCCTTATTAATGGTGATGGGCCAGAGTGACCTCTGGTTAATGTAAGAGACTAGAATGAAGGTTGACATGGCCGAGGAAGCCTGCAGGTAGGCTGTGGCCATGACCATGGTCTATAGGCTTTCACTGGTGGTACTAAAGCCATAAATCTATTTTACTGTGTTACAATTTATCCTTTGAGCTCATCCCACCTTTGTAGCAGGTTACAGCAGACTGCGGACCTCTGATTACAGCTGGTTATGGCCCAAGTACACTTGCTGTTGAAGTGCTAATAAGTCCGAGAGGGTAGTATCACGGGGTGCAGTAACTGGATAACTGTTTTTCATGAACCAACATTATTCCTGTATTTGTCTCCAGGGAAAAGAGCAGAACAAGCCAGAGGTGGCACCACTCCACATCCAGAACCCTTTTGAGACCTCGTTGAATGTCAGCAAGAATGTGAACGCCACCCAGCTCAGTCGCTTTGTGGCTTTGTGCCAGGAGAGCTCTTGGTTGATCCAACAAAGTGAACGCAACTCACCCAAAAGTGCTGCCGGAGAAAGCAGTCCCACACCCTGGGGTCTCGCCGCCTTACTTCTCCCTTCACAAGTTGAAGGGATGAAATCTCGTAAGAAAAGACGACGAGAGCCCGTCAGTGAAACAATTAAGAGTTTGTTAGAATCCTTAAAGAACAAAAATCAAGGGAAGAAGAGGTAGGGAGCCTGGAACATCCCGTGGACTGTCTTCTTATACTTTACTGCGAACACCAGTGGCCGTTCTTTATGTCCTTGCTGAAATAGGACTGTAGTTCCTAATGTGGACACACGATGGCAGTAGTGCAGTCTGTGTGGGCCTGTACCTAACCGTGGATGTCCCAGTTTGAATGAACAATAATGCTGTGGTAGAAACTGCCATGTTCCCAGTATAATGGTCCTTTCTCAAGTGCTGTTTTTCATTTCAGGTTCAGCATGTTATACCTTCATTTGTGGAAAAGTGCAGTATCGTAACATAAAAAATGATGGAATAATAACTTTCCTACTGTAAAATTTTACACATGGTTTATTGTAAATCTGAGACCCGATGCCTGCAGCTCAACAGGACCAGTCTAAATCACACACACATATAATACCTGACAGTTTTATTTGTTAAATAAATAATTGTATCTTTGAAGGTTTTGTTCATTCATTTACAGGTGCTGGTCATAAAGTTGATTTATTTCAGTAATTCCATTCAAAAAGTGAAACATATATATTAGATCACAACATGCCCTATAGGTAAAAAAAAAATTGTAAGTCGCTTTGGGTAAAAGCGTCTGCTAAGCACATAAACAACATTAAACAACAAACAACATGTATTCATTACACACAGACTGATATATATCTAATGTTTATTTCTTTTAATTTTGGTTATTTTGCTAAAAACTACTGAACATCTTGAACTGAACTGGTCCTTTAGTGACAAGTGAACATTTTTCACTGTCAGGTGAATTTTATTTTATTTTTTTGGGGGGCCATTTTTCAGGGTCATCTGATATCAAGCAATGTCTTGTATTTGTAGATTTGGTCGGGCTAGCATCTTGGAAGAGATGACACTGTGTCCGTGGATGTTACCTGAGCTGAAACACAAGAAAAAAGAGAAAAAGCACACCACATAATTGCTAATAAATCTGAAGGCTTCTGTGTTTGTCGTCAAATTAGGATTAGGTATCCTAAGAAATTAGAATGCACGCCTGACAATGATGCCGTACACAGCAAATGTAAAAGTGATCATTTTGGGGTTTTAACTGAACCATTTTGACCAGTTTTAGTGTTCACCTTTATATTTCACTCTATATTTTATTGTTTATGCCTTGTTTGTTTGTTTTTTCAGTACAGTCTCACCTATGTGAATTGAGAGTATTTTCTTCATTTTTTCATACTGTATTGACACAGTAAACCTAAAAGTACACAAAAAAAAATCCAAATTAGGGTAGAAAAATATGACATTGCAGTGAAAACCACAAATATTTGGATGATGGAAATTTTTACTGATATCACTCATGGGGAGGGTTGCTACCAGAGGTGGAAAAAGTACTGAAATGTCCTACTTAAGTATGAGTAGCAATACTTTGATAATTTTTTACTCGAGTACAAGTAAAAGTACTTGCCTAAATTTTTACTCAAGTAAAAGTAAAACATATCGTAAATAAAATGTGCTCAAAGTAAAAGTTAGTTACATTTTTGTCAGCGTAAGGTTGGCTACATCTAAAGCTGGGCGGACACTGCGACTTTTTCACTCGTAGCACTCAGCTTCAGCTCAAACTGTACGACTTCATCGCTGGGCAGATCTCACGAGCCATGAGCTCACACTGCACGTCTGGTAGCAACACGTCGAACCTAAAAATATGCTGAAAATTGCAGTTTTTACACAACACGTCATTTAGGGCTGGGGCTGTGTCTCAATTCAGGGTCTGCATCCTTCGTCGGCCGGTTACGTCACAGCGCCGCGACTAGGCATGTCCCAATTCGAAGACTCCTTCAAATGCGGTCGACGAATCCGGCCTTCTTTTCGCCTGAATGAAGGATGGGTCGGGTGTATCCTTCAATAGGTAGCATTTCCCAAGATGCCTTGCGGGCCGGCCGGCAGAAAAACTTTTAGCAACAATGGCGGACAGTGAAGCGGGAGCTGTCGGAGAGGATTGCGCATATAAATGTCAGTATAAACTTAAATTGTTAGGTTAAGGCCTTTTTGTGATACATGAACGTTATTTTAGTTAGAAATGTAACAGTAAAAGTGCTTGTATTGCGGTCTCGGCTCGTATGTTCGGCCGCTCGGTGTTGTACTTCTCCCGCTACGTTTTCCCCCTGATTTTAATAGAAGTTTGTATTTTAGAAACAAAAGAGAAAACCAGAATTTATTAAGCTTAGGGCGGAGATGGACCACATGTTCACTGGAGCAAAGTATGCGGCGGCTGTGGCATGGAGGTTCAATAACATCTCATATTTTAAAAATTCGTTTGAGTTTATTTTTTTCTGCGAAACCATGAAAGGAATAACCCGTTGTCCTCTTTTCTCTCGCTTTTCTCTTCCTGTTTTTTTTTCTTACATGTTTGTTAAGACTATTCTGGAGAAAATGGGCATCCAGGGGAAGGTGACAGCGATGACCAGCTTCTGGAGCTGGTCAGGGAGGACTTGAGGCTGCAGAGGGAGGCAGAGCAGCAGAGGGCCCAGGAGAGAAGGAAGAACTTTGACAGGCTTGCTAGAAAAAAATGGTTAAGAAAGATTAAACACGTACATATAAAAGAAATATCTAAATAAAATCAGTTCTGCATTAAACTCTTGAATTTTATTTTTGTTTACTAATGAGAATTGTTTACTAGAGGGTATCCCGCTGGGTCTTAAAGTCTTAAAAGGTGATAAATCGGTTTTGGTCAAATTAAGACCCTTAGAAAGTATTAAAAACTATTATCACATCTTTGCTCAGGCTCAGCTTGTCGAAAGTATTTTCTCTGAATTAGCTCTCCAGCAGTCAAGGAAATGATTAAAAAGCTAAATAAAACTTCGAGCTCGATCGTTTAAAGTTCCTTCTCCCTTCTGCTCAGCGGTTCCACGGTTGCTAGGCGACGGAACGTTCGCCGAGGGAGAGGCGGGAATTCATGAAGGCTAGGCCTGTCCAAATTCACAGCCGTTAACATCCGGTCTACCCGGCCGACGGACCCGTCCTTCATTCAGGCGAAAAGAAGGCCGGATTCGTCGACCGCATTTGAAGGAGTCTTCGAATTGGGACATGCCTAGTCGCGGCGCTGTGACGTAACCGGCCGACGAATCCGGCCGACGTTGGATTCAGACCCTGAATTGAGACACAGCCTATATATACGTTTTATAGAGGCTCAGATCAGTTTGAGATTGCTGATTAACTGCATTGTAGGTCCCCTACAAAAGAAGTGTGTTAGCTGGGTGTAGTTTCCCCTCCTTGTCTCGTTGTAGATCGCCCCCTGGGGCTGAGGACTCACCTCCAGCAGTGGTGCCCCCAGAAACTTTCCACAGTTTCAGCCAGATGGAGCCAATGAAAACTTTGGGGTGGAACACCAAATTGGTTCCTGCTGGTCCCTTTCTGTCTCAACAGAAACATCCAATAAAGTACCTTTTCTTTCTAAATGATGAGCTTAGCTAAAAAAGGCATAGGCGATAAGTTGAAAACGATCAAACACGACTGTCTCTGTCAGTGTCTCACTGAGAACTGAACATTTGATGAACTGTAGGACAAAAGAACTATTCTGCTTTGATGTGATGACATCACAACACAGCATGATGACATCATAAAGAATCTGGGTATAGCAGGGCCATGTGCATACCTTTTGTTGCAGCCAGGTCCTTTTCTCAATACTCGAGGATGCTAAACGTTCTTGTGTTTCTCAAATCCAGTCCTCAGGACCCCCTGCTATACATGGTTTCCATATTGCCCTCTCAGTCACCACACACACTTGACTTCAATGAATGGGTGATTAACAAGCATCTGCAGCACTTGATCTCTTCCTTCATGTCAATGTGTTTAAAACCATAAATGAATGAATACCTCATGTAATGTTTTATCTGTGTCACAATTTCAACCCCTCCTCTTTTATCCGGGCTTGGGACCGGCAGAAGTGACCCAGATAGGGACACTCTGGCAGAGTTAGTTTTTTTTTTTTTTTTTTTTTTCAGTTGGATAACATTTTATTCTCCATCTTTATTTAACTTAATTCAGTTTACTTATATATTACCAATTTGTAAAACAAGGCACTTGAGAGGATGAAAAACAGCTTTCCTTTTGGCAGAAGACGATCCATTCTCAGGAACCAAAAATCAGCATTCCTTGTCTGGAGTTTCAGATCCCTCACCATCAAAGGAAATGATTCTCTTTGAGAAGTTGTCTATTTATACATTGTTAGGGTTGTTTGCGGAGAGTTTGCCTTCATCAGAAACCTTAAACCTTTTTGTGGGAGGTCCAGGGTCTGAAACGGCTTTCCGTTTGGTTGCTGAAACTAAACCACGATTCTCTGACAAATGCGGTTGTTCCATGCTAATATAAGTCTCTGAATCTTTAACCAGAGCTGGAGAATTGGGTCCAGAGCTTTGAAGACTAGTTTCTGTTTTACAAAAGCCAAGGGTGACACTGGAGCTCCTTTAAGGTGGGACGCCACCCTGGGCTCAAACAGAAACAGCTCTTTAGGAATCTCTTACAGTCTGTAGAGAGATCCGTCCTGATTCTGAGTTTGCTATCGAGTAACTTTCTTGAGTCAAACAAACTTTCGTGGAGCATTTCATAGAGAACAACTCCCACCTGCCACACGGTTGCTGGTCCTGCCTCATAACTGCATTCAGAAATATACTCAGGAGGGGCGTGTTTCGCTGTGCCGTAGAACCAGCCGTCTTCATATTCTGTGTTGGTGAAACAACTCAGTCCAAAGTCAATCAGTCGCAGTCGCGGGATTTCTGATCCTGTTTCAATCAGAATATTTTTTGGTTTAATGTCTCTGTGGAAGATGTTGGTGTCCTCCAGATGTTTGACGGCATCAACTAGCTGTTTTATAATAGTTTTAGCCTGATTCTCCTGTAGGGGCTCTTTGTTATTTTCAATAAACTGTGAGAGGTCCACTGCAGGCACCGGTCTCTCCAACACTAGAATTTGTTCCTGGTCGAAGTCATACCAGTCCAGGAGGGAAATTGGGGCGGACTTCCCCACCGAATCAGCTGATTCTGTCTGGAGTTTTAGCATGGCGGCTACCTCAATGCTGAGCTGCTGGCCGTTCTCGTCCGTATCTGTCCAGACTACATTTTCCTTTGGTATATGTTTGATTGCCACAGGTAAATTGTCTGCCCTGCGGTAGCCACCATAAACAGATCCACAGCCTCCCTTTCCGAGCTGATCTTTTTGCTCGTATTTTGCCTCGAACTGATCTTTGGCTGAAAGCGAGGGACTCTCAGAATCAGACAGTCTGAGTCTCTTTGCTGGACTTCCAGATCCCTCACCATCTGGGGAGCGTGACCTCTTAGAAACTCTGATTGTCTCATCCAGGTTATCTCTGGAGACACTGCCTTCGTCTGAAACCCTAGACCGTTTTGTGGGAGGTTCGTGATGAAAAACAGCTTTCCTTTTGGCAGAGGACGATCCTTTCTCAGGAACCAAATATCTGCATTTCTTGTCTGGAT